TTGGAGAACTTCAAGGTCACTGGAAGAAAAAGTTCATAATTCATGTCCTGTCCATATCTTTCTTATGGATAAACTTGGTAGGTTCTCATTTCACACAAAGATTGCCCATGACCCAAGGGTGTGTCATGACCTTGACCCAAGGTCATTTGGGGAACTTCAAGGTCACTGGAAGAAAAATTGAAAAATTTATGTGTGATACATATCTTTATTATGGAAAAACTTACTTCTGAAAAACCCAGCAGGGGGTATTTTGTCCCGTTTGGACAGTTCTAGTTCAATGAGTAACACATTTATCTGAGCTCGAGTAAGGTTTGAGTTGATTTTTGAGTACCACACTGGCTTTTTTTGTAGATATATGTTAAGGCAGGGATTTACCATGGTACAGAGGCTCTTTGTGAAGCTCAGGTGACAAAGGAAGTGGAATCTAACAATCCTCGCTGGACTGAGTGGCTGGAATTCCTGAACATGACCGATATTCCCCGCAGTGCCAGACTCTGTCTGTCCATCTGTTCAGTCAACAGGAGGAGAAATAGAAAGGTAGTCCCTATATAGTTTTCATATCTAATCAATTCTTAATATTTGGGTGTATACATGCAAACAGTCATGAATACATATTAGTTATTGATATTTAGACAAGGCACAAGACACTTGTATAATTGTGTAAAAAATTAAAAAAAGAACTTTTCTTTTTGTTGATTGAAATAAAAGAAAATACTTCTACTTATAATGATCTTAACATTTTAGGTGACATTTGCCCTAGCTTGGGGAAATCTACAGCTGTTTGATTTCAATGACAGACTTCTAAATGAAAAAGTTAGTCTAAATCTCTGGCCTATGCCCCAGGGAATGGATGAACTTCTGAATCCCATTGGTATTCCAGGTAAGTTTTATATGAATGATATGATAAAGTTCACACATATGAGCAAGCGTTTATTTTAAAACATTTTTGTGGCATATGCTTTCTTTTATTTATTACTGTAAAGGCAGAAAATTTCATTCATTTTGTTGTTTACAATTATCAACAAAATTAAATCCCACACAAAATTTTCATATTACTGTGTTGCTTTTGAAAGGACAAAATTTAATGCCCTCGAAACCATTTTCGATAACAAATCAACGAAATTTGATCCCCTCCAAAATTTGTGTTTCTACAGTAGTTGTTTATAAAGCTTGCTAATAAGTGTTCTTGTTATGATACAGATGATGACTTGATAGATTGATAGTTATATACCTTTTCATACAACAATGAAATAATTCTCACATTTTCTATCAAGTTTATGATTTTAATTTTTAGGATCAAATCCTGATGAGAAGGAGACAGCTTGTCTTGAGATAGAGTTTGATAGGTTCGCCTTTCCAGTGGTGCATCCTCAAGAATACGAGTTTGAAGAACTGGCTCACTTTCTGACAACCAGAGAACGAAGATCACATTTACTGGTGTGTATCACAGTGTATCAGAAACTACTAATCAGTACTTAAGGGTGATAATATGAATAATTGAATATTGTTTATATTATCATCCATATATGGCAATTTCTTAAAATGCCATGGTTATGACAAAGTGAGTTGGAAGTCTCTACAACTTTTTCATCTATAATAAATATTTGAACCTTTATCTCCAACTCTTCAATATCTGTACAAGTATTTTCTCTACCCCAGTGATTTCGGGATGATGCAATATCATTGTATACCATGAAGAGTGGTATTATAAGCTGCCATTGTATTTTCTTGATATCTTTATATGGTTTTATTGATTGATTATTTTTTAAAACAGGAGACTCCTATAAGCAGACAGAGGGATGAGGAGACGATTAGAGAAGTTGTGTTACGTGATCCACTGGCAGAAATCTCGTATCAGGAAAAAGAAATACTGTGGAGGCAAAGGTCTGCATACATCCACTTTGATTTTCAAAATTGTTCATCATACTTCACTGTTGTCTATGAGATGGATTTAATCAATTGAGTATGTCTCTTTTCAGGGAGTTCTGCTTGACTCTCCCCCACTCCTTGCCAAAACTCCTTCAAGCTATGAGATGGAATGATCGTGAAAATGTTGCTCAGGTGAGATTTTCTGTAAAGTACATTGTATTAACTTCAAAGTCATTTTTATCTTCTTGTACCATATGTTCTTGTCTGAATTTGAAAATTTGAGTTGATCTCCTATTTTATCCTAGTTGCAATTATTACAAACATGTTTTATTTGTAGATGTACATGTTACTGAAGAAGTGGCCCATATTGGAGCCAGAAGTTGTTTTAGAGCTGTTAGACTGCTCGTTTCCGGATCCTCACGTTCGTAGTTATGCTGTCAGATGTCTGGAACAGAAACTCACAGACGAAAAACTACAACGATACCTACTACAGCTTGTACAAGTAGGCCCTACTTACAAACGGTTTACATTACAATTTATAATGATCCGTCCAGTCAGCTATTTCATTAGAGTCTAAAAAGTATTACCTTGTCACCAAGATACATCCATAATACTTCCTCTGGTAGTTATTTATCTGCATACCTGAATGGGTTTAATTTTCAATGCAAGCTGATGCTTTTGCCTGCATAACTCGATTTTCTTTTGCAAGGATCGAGCTTCACTGTTTGACGAAGATATTTTCTTTTCAGGCATTAAAATTCGAGCCATATCTGGATAACCCAATCACCAGATTTCTATTGAGGAAAGCACTTCTAAATCAAAAGATAGGACAAATCTTCTTCTGGCATCTCAAGTAAGTATTAATCTCAATCATTTCTAACAAAAGGATATTTCTGCAATTGCCCCTTGATATTAAACCCTTGATTTTTATATTCTTCTAACTGTAGGTCTGAAATGCATCACCCTGCCATAAGAACTAGGTTTGGACTTGTGCTGGAGGCATTCTGTCGAGGCCTAGGGCCATACTTAAAAGTTTTGACCCGACAGGTGGAGGCCCTGGAAAAACTTACTAAACTTACAGATGCTCTCAGAATGGATGTCAAAAATGTGAGTATTTAGCATGCATATATACATGTGGCTAGCACTCTGCACACCTTGAAAAGACCAGAGGAAAGGGTTGATTCATGTGTGATATTTCACAGTAGATTGGGAGTTTTTATTGAATTATTTTAAAGTTGTATGATGAACTTTGTGCTTGCAGGACCATATAGAACAAATGAAACACCTCCATTTACAACTACAGCAGCCTGACTACCACGAAGCCCTGCGGAACTTCCTGTCCCCACTCAACAACAGCAATAGACTGGGAGATCTGTGGTAGGTCATTCAGTCAGAAAAACAATTCATAGAGACTAATGATTGTGTGTGTCACAGACCAGTGTATTTAAAGTGTTATCATTGTTATGATTTCTTTTAAAATGTATTACATGTACTTTGAACAGTGCTGCAGACTGCAAGGTGATGAAGTCAGCTAAGCGACCATTAAAGTTATCATGGCAGAACGCTGATCCAATGGCTGATATCTATTTCCTCTCCTTCAAGTTTTTCTTCAAGAATGGAGATGGTAAGGTGTATTACATTTCTTGCAAATTATACTATTTGTTTAAATAAAATAATTTATGATACATTAAAAAAGAATAATTAATGTCTGAAGTACATTATAAACTTTGTAGATCTAAGACAGGATATGCTGACACTGCAGCTGTTAAGGGTGATGGATTCACTGTGGAAAGAGGAGGGCCTAGATTTAAGGTAGGTGTTCAACTTATAATAATACTCAAAATAAAAAAAACAAACAAACAAATAACAGTCAAATAGATTCAGAACAGGGTGTACCAAAGTGGTTACACCATACACAGCTGTTAGCTTATAAATGAAATTTCACATTAATACCTGTGCATGTTACTTTGTAAGACAAAATCTGCTTTTTTCATAAGCAAAAATTCCTCTAGGTACTTGTATGATGAGTAAAATGTTATTCTTTTAATACCTACATGACTGGGTACTTTGATTTTCTTTTTCCCTCACTGTATCAGAGGAGTGGCATAAGTTCCTGTGATTTTGACATCATTTCTTTGATATTACAGATTAATTCCCTACGGCTGTCTCTCCACCGGTAAGGAGCTGGGTCTGATAGAGTGTGTTCGTGATGCCCTGACCATCATGGACATTCAGAAAAAGACTATCACTGGTGCTTTTCAGATCGATTCTAGTAATGTCCATCGATGGATCAAAGAAAACAACAAAGAGAGCAAGGAAAAGTAAGTTATAAAAGCTTAACTGGTGTTAAAATTTAGTCAATAAAATGCTTTCATTGTCTGTTAATGAGAATGAACAATAATTTATTGCAACTATTAAAGTAAAAATGTAAATTAAAGCATTCACACACACAGCAGACATGCTATTGTTCGTTTTTGATTCTGTAAAGTACATGTAGGTCAAAGTATGTAAAATGATTTTGTGTTACTGATCTGTATATCCAGGCCCCAGGATCATGAAACATCTTAAGCTTAAGTCAAAATGTTCATGTTGTACAAGAATTTTGATTTAGTGAAGTTGACAAAAATTAAAATATCTTTAAATATTGCTTTACGAAAGAGTTGTTATCTGCAAATTAAAGATTCGTTCAATGATCAATAAACATTTTACAGGCAATTAAAAATTTTACTAAAGTCTAAGTCTTTTTATGATTCTGGGACCTGGTATGTTTCTTTGATGGAAGAGTTTACTGCTTTTAAAAGAAATTTTTCATAATACATGACGTATTCATACAGATGATTTGGAAAACTTGGTTTAACTAGATTTATATTGAACAGAGGCTTACAGATTTTTAATGGAATGTGAAAATGCACATACAGGTAGCGATTTGTAAAAGCACAACTTGAATGTATTTTTAGATACGACCAAGCAATAGAAACCTTCACTCGATCCTGTGCTGGTTATTGTGTGGCCACATTCATCTTGGGGATAGGAGACAGACACTCAGAGAATATCATGTGTACTAGGGATGGTCAGGTAAATATTTCATAGGGATTCACCAAACTGGAACTTAGATTTAGTTGGACATCAGATTTGGCAAAGTCTTCAAAATTTCAAAGAAAAAACATGAAGTTAAGTTGCCATTTAAAGGTGATTATCTGTGCTCTAATAAAATGCATAATAATTTTGAACCAAAGGATTGTGAATCAAAGTTCAAGCAAATGAAAGTAAATCTGTTATGGTTGAGTTGTATTCTTGCATAAAACGTACCTTTCTAAAGCTGAGCTCTTGGAGATGAGCACCATCAAATTAATGTCTTATTAGTTTTGAATTTCATTGTACAGTATCACACTGATCTATTCTGATTTGTTGTAGGTATTTCATATTGACTTTGGCCATTTCCTGAACCACAAGAAGAAGAAGTTTGGAATCAACAGAGAGCGAGTGCCCTTTGTCCTGACTGAAGACTTTGTGCGTGTCATTGTCCGTGGATCAGACAAAAGTACTAAACATGACCTCTTTGCAGAGTAAGTCTTATCTTTCCTTATTTGTTCAAGTTTAGAATAAATTTTTTAAAAGCTTAATTAAGGTAAAACTGTTTTAATTTAAAATGTTTGTTACATTTAGGTAGAAAATAAAAAATTAACAAATATTTTGTTAACTACTTCAAATAACAGGTCTTTGTGAATGAAAATTCTATTTCAATGGTTATTTTTAATTCTATCCTTACAGATTTAACACATTGTGTTTGGAGGCCTATTTGGTTCTTCGTCGACATGCTCATCTTCTCATTAATCTATTCACCATGATGTTGTCGTGTGGAATCCCAGAGTTACAGTCCCTGGATGATATAAGTTATGTAAGAAAGACTCTAGCTGTGGAAGAGACAGAAGAAGAGGCTGCCAAGTATTTTAACTTACAATTCAAAACTGCCCATGGTGGACAGTGGTCAACTAAAGTGGACTGGGTGTTCCACTTCATGAGGGCTTTCAGCAAGTAAAAAGCTGCAGAGGTTGTCTTTTCTTACTTCAAGTGTGAACATGTGTTCAGTGATATTTATATGTACATGGAGGAAGAAATCAAAGGAATTATTTTGTTTGGAGAAGAGATAAAAGGAACAAATAACTCCTGATATGTCTTTCAGGCCAAGTTACGGATAGCCATGATGTAACTAACAGGAAGTGCAGTCAGGAAAATGTGCTTGGCTCTTATTGGTCTCCTGAGTCCATCATGTGACCAACCGCTAGTTGGCTGTCATGCATGACTTTGGAAAAATTTCAGCTTCATTTCTGAAAGATGGCTGAACCAATTCCTACCAATTTAGTACACAGCCTCATAGGAAAATAATGTTGATGGTACAGTCCTTGTCGTTGGCCATGCATGCTCAGGCTTTCAGAGTAATGTATTATTAAGCCATGTGCATGAAATAAAGCTTACTGATGGATACCTATATGTGGAAAGATTCAAACTACTCAGACAAATGTGTCATTATATGTGGAACTTTTGAACCACAGTAATAGGCCATTTTCAAATTTCAAATTGTTGAAACTTTTTGGAAATGAATACTTTAGTGTAAAGATTAGATAGGCATGTAGGTGTATAAATGCAGGTTAGTCTTGTTTCAAAGTCAATATATTATGAAGAAAACTTGATTTTTATGAAAGTTCTTTTGATACTTTTGGTAACATTTACAGTTTTGATTAAAGATTAATAGCTTTCAAATTTATATCTTTCTGTAATATCTTTCAGATTCAGCATTATATGTATAAGGTTGTCCATATTAAAAGTAGGTTGAGATTGGGCATTGGAAAACAAGTCAAATTCTATAACCTTCTTCAACTTTATGAAAACATTTGAGAGAATTTACACAAGTACGTTTCAACCAGTTTGCTTCAATAACCAGTAAAATTTTAAGAAGCCCAAACAAACTTGTATCAATTGTGGATTCAACATCATGTAAAATATATCGATTCAGAAGCTTATAACACAACATGTGTATAAAAGTCCCCCAGTTGTCTTTGTGATAAATAGAGGAAATTCTGAATTTACATTTTACATTGTTACTGATATTATTTAATATTTAGACTACCGGTATTGATAATAATGAAGTATGATTTCATACTTGGAGACTGAATGTGCTTGTCATTATTTATTTCATAGCTGTGAGAAAGGTTGTTTTTAACACATGTACTTTCGAATGTGTTTAGTGCTAACATACATCATGTTTCACAGTCATATTTCTTGTAATGAACAATTTTTTTTCTTCAAGAAAGTGCAATCAATGTTTATAATTTTTTTTTCTGAGAGGTACTAATTCATGAGTACAATTGTTTATGCATTTACATGTTGACATCGAATCATCTCAGAAGACCTGTCTTTATATTGTGTGTTGTGTGTCTGTCTATTCATGAAAAACATGTCTTTCTTGTGATAGCAACAAAAATTAATATTGTAAAGTTATTTTGCATACTTTATTATAATAAAGAATAAACTTGTAACAAATTTTCTTCCGAGTTTGCTTGACTTGTGAATTAGAAAATCATAATCTCCAGGAAAAGCAACGGGTATATAACTGACAAGGTCATCCAGCGCTTTGAAATATTTATATCAATAATTTATGTTTATTCTTACCTTTGTAAAAAAAGCCCAAATGCAGAAGAAATTTCTATTAAACATCCTTTACTTGCTTTGTCCTTGTATATCAAGTCAATACATTAAAATATTGATTGCATTACAAACCAGAAGTCTCTGTCGAGACTGAAGCTCTACTGGTTTGTACTTATAGCAAATGAATAGAAAAGTTCTTAAGCAGTTGGGAATTGAATCTTTACCACAGCAATAAAGTGAATAATGATCCTTGATTAAGTCTCTTTATGTTCTTAGTGTAGTCTACTTGCATTCCACATTATATTTATAATAATCAAACTGTATTTGGAGTAGCATTTTGAGAGTATTTAACAGAAATTTCTATTTTTAGTAACCAAAGCAATAATGTTCATCAAAGTCAAAAACTGATATAAAGAATTGTATATCTTAGTGTAGTCTACTTGTGTGCTAAGTTATATTGAAATCAGACCAAAACTGTAGAAGGAGTAGCATTTTGAAAGAATTTCACAGAAATTTCTATTTTTAGTAATTACGGCAACACCGCTAATTGAAATCAAAAACCGATACACAGAATTATGTATCTTAGTGTAGTCTACTTGTGTGCCAAGTTATATTGAAATCGGACCAAAACTGTTGGAGGAGTAGCATTTTGAAAGAATTTCACAGAGATTTATATTTTTAGTAACCACAGCAACACCGTTCATTGAAATCAAATACCGATATACAGAATTATATATCTTAGCGTAGTCTACTTGTGTGCCAAGTTATATTGAAATCAGACCAAAACTATAGGAGAAGTAGCATTTTGAAAGAATTTCACAAATTTCTATTTTTAGTAACAATGGCAACACCGTTCGTCGAAATCAAAAACCGATACACAGAATCATGTACATGTATCTCAGCGTAGTCTACTTGTGTGCCAAGTTATATTGAAATCAGACCAAAACTATAGGAGAAGTAGCATTTTGAAAGAATTTCACAGAAATTTCTATTTTTAGTAACAACGGCAACACCGTTCATCGAAATCAAAAACCGATATACAGAATTAAGTAACTTTGTGTAATCTACTTGTGTGCCAAGTTATATTGAAATCGGACCAAAACTGTAGGAGGAGTAGATTTTTGAAAAATTGTTTACAGACAGACGGACAGACAGACAGACAGACGGACGGACGGACGGAGGCATTACTATCGCATAAGCTCTTCTGGTCTCTGACCAGTAGAGCTAAAAATGCAGAGAAGAAAATGTCATTTTAGTTTGGTCACTGAACATTGATCTTTGAGTGAGCCAAAAGTGCAATGACATAGATATTGCAATCAAATTTCAAAAGTAGATCACAGTGACCTACTTTTCAGTTGACATTCTCCAAAAACCCAAGATGCATCAACTGTCAAAGTTTAGTGATTCTTAGCCAATTAGAACAGGGAATATTTAAATATAGTCATAAAATTGCAAAAAAGTAGGTCACAGTGTAGGTCATAGGACATTCTAAAAGAACCCAAGATGCATCAATTTATAAAAATTGATTACTTTAATCCAATAAACTCATGAGATATTTAAGTAAAGCTTAGAATTTCAAAAGTATTACGCTGAGCTAAATTTTGGTTGAAGTTCTCTGAAGTTTACAAAGTATGATGATTCTCGGCCAATAAGTATCTAATATATTTAATATTTATAGCTATAACATGTAGGTAACCATAAACTACATTATAGTTGAAATTCTCTGACCTGAAATATATAATTATAGCCATAATATTTCAAAAGTAGGTCACCATGACCTGCTTTTTCATTGGTGTTCTTTGAAAATCCAAGATGCATCAACTGACAAAGTTTGATGAGTACATGTATAGGTCTGAAAGTACCTGCAAAATTCAAAAAGTAGGTCACTGTGACCTACTTTTTGATTAATATGTTTTAAGGCTCTACGAAACATCAATTTACAAGGTTTTATGTTTCTAAGCTTTTCAATTTTTCAGATAATGACCCTTAATTGTTTTGAAAATGATAAAATGATAAGCCGTTCAAAAAGGAGGTCACTGTGACCTACTTTTTGATAAATATGATTTAGCCTTATGACGTTTAATTTACAAGATTTGACGATTCTAAACTTTTCAGTATTTCAAATAATGACCCTTAAAATGTTTTGAAAATAATAAGCCATGAAGTTCAAAGTGTAGGTCACAGTGACATACTTTTCAGTTGACGTACTTTAAGGACCCAAGATGCATTAACTGAAAAAGTTTGATGATTATAAGCCTTAAAATGAGCAAAATATGCCTCCAGTTCAATTTGATAGTTAATGACCACAACAATTTTAAACGTAGGTCACTGTAACCTACTATTGAGTCAACATGACTTCCTAAGTTGCATCAACTGACAAGATTAGATGATCCTACTCCTAATAGTAAGCAATTGCAAAATTAACATTTTATAAATTAAAATGGATTCTTTGGGTCAACTTTTAAGTGATCTTGAGACTTTGCCATTTGCCTCAGGGTGATGCCTTGAAATTTTTAATCTTCAACATATCCTCATCCGTGTGTGTTAAGTTTCAAATTGGTGATAATCTGCCCAGTGATTTTTTGAGAATATTTTTTACCAAACCAGTACTTTTGGTTTTATTTACCAAATTATCTCCCTTGTTTAAGGGTCACAACCCTAGTTTTAATATAAACAGCTCTTGGCCCAAGAATGCCCTGTGACCAATTTGCCAACTGGTCAAGTAGTTCTTGAGTTATGGCCCATATTCTTAAAAGTTGAATGACACCGCACAAACGGCCATGGCATTAGCTCTTTGAGACACAAAAGCTTGAAAGACATCATGCTGTTATCATTACATTTTCACCTTGACAAAAATTGAGTGAACAAGGAATACACCCAAAGAAACAAGAGGCCCAAGGGCCTTGAATTGCCCTTCCGATAAATTGTACAATCTATCACTTCTATTTGAAGCCTCCAACTTTAAGTATCATAAGACGCAAAATGCATCAACTGACAAAGTTTCAGTTGATAATTCTTAGCCAGTTAAGACTGAAGATAGTTTAATATAACTATAAAATACCATAAGTAGGTCATGGTGACCTACTTTTTGAAATTTTTTGAGGCTTCAAGATGCATTAATTGACAAAGACTGCTGATTCTGAGTCAATAAGAACTTGAAATATTCAAAAGTAGGTCACCATGACCTACTTTTAGTAGACATTCTCCAAAAACCCAAGATGCACCAACTGACAAAGTTTGACTATTCTAAGACAATAAGTACCACAGATACTTAGATATAGCCATAAAATGTCAAAGAAAAGGTCACAGTGACCTACTTTTTAATCGACAATCTCCGAAAACCCAAGATGCATCAACTGACAAAGTTTGCTGATTCTAAGTCAATAAGTACCAGAGATACTTAAATGTAGCCATAAAATGTCAAAAGTAGGTCACCATGACCTACTTTTTGGTCGACAATCTCCGAAAACCCAAGATGTATCAACTAACAAAGTTTGACGATTCTAAGCCAATACGTACCAGAGATACTTAAATATAGCCATAAAATGTCAAAGAAAAGGTCACAGTGACCTACTTTTTAATCGACAATCTCCGAAAACCCGAGATGCATCAACTGACAAAGTTTGCTGATTCTAAGTCAATAAGTACCAGAGATACTTAAATATAGCAATAAAATGTCAAAAGTAGGTCACCGTGACCTACATTTTGGTCGACATTTTTCGAAGACCCAAGATGCATCAAACTGACAATGTTTTATGATCATAGGTCTGAAAGTATTCAAAATATGCCTTTTAAACAATTTGAAAACAAATGCCTGCAAAAATTAAGAGTTAACATCATCATTAAAACTTTGAAAAATTTTTTTTTTGATTTGGTATTGATACACTAACCAATAAGTGAAGTAAAACATAGGTCATATGTAACATATTTCATATCAGTAATTTGTTTTTAAATAGAATATGAAGAGATAAAATTAACCTCTCTAAAAATACAACAAAGTAGAGTGAGGTACATGTATATTGTTTATCAGTAAGTGAAGTAAAACACAGGTCTTATGTAACGTATTTTATGTCAGTAATTTTTTTTTTTTGAAATAGAATATGAAGAGATAAAATTAACTTCTCTAAAAATACAAAAAAGTAGAGTCAGGTATTTTTTTAGCAACACCCTTTAGTTTGATCTATTTTTAACTAAAGTGTGACCCATATTATAACTATCTTTCAATGACCACCGCAGCATTAGAAGATGGCAATTGGGTATTCTAGCAACCAATTACAATGTTCTGCATTCAGCAATAAAACATCGATGGTCATTTGTCAAGTTGATATATCATTAATTTTTACACTAATTTTTACAACCGAATTATACGACCTCATGCTGATTACTACGAAGCCTACTGCTGTGAAAATTTATTGCACTGCCCGTTGTTTTCTCAATGTATTGTCATTCTAAGCAATTATAAGAAATATGATAAAAATTAATGCAAAATTGCGAAAGCCGGATAGGCTCATTTCTGAAAAGATAAAAAAATATTTAACTCGTTATATCGAGTTAATTATCTCGTTATAACGACTTAGTTATCTCGTTATAACGACTTAGTATCTCATTATAACGAGTTGATTATCTCGTTATATCGAGTTAATTATCTCGTTATAACGACTTAGTTTTATCTCGTTATTACGAATTACTTATCTCGTTATTACGAGTTAGTATCTCGTTATAACGAGTTAATTATCTCGTTATAACGAGTTAGTTATCTCGTTATAACGAGTTAGTTATCTCGCTATAACGACTTAGTTATCTCGTTATAACGAGTTAATTATCTCGTTATAACGAGTTAATTATCTCGTTATAACGAATTAGTTATCTCGTTATAGCGAGTTAATTATCTCGTTATAACGAATAAGTTTTCTCGTTAAAACGAGTTAGTTATCTCGTTATAACGAGTTAATTATCTCGTTATAACAAGTTAGTTATCTCGTTATAACGAGTTAGTTATCTCGTTATAACGAATTAGTTATCTCGTTATAACGACTTATTCAACTCGTTATAACGAGTTAATTATCTCGTTATAACGAATTAGTTATCTCGTTAAAACGAGTTAGTTATCTCGTTATAACAAGTTAATTATCTCGTTATAACGACTTAGTTATCTCGTTATAACGAGTTAAGTATCTCGTTATAACGAGTTAGTTATCTCGTTATAACGAGAAATGTAATTCGAAATAACGAATTAGTTAATTATCTTGTTATAACAAATTAGTTATCTCGTTATAACGAGTTAGTTTTCTCGTTATAACGAGTTAATTATCTCGTTATAACGAAATAATTAGTTGCTCCTTTATTTCCAAATTAATATCAATATAGGAATTAAAAATGGCTGTAGTTCTAATGCCATTGAAGTTTAGTTGATAATTATCAGTCGTACTTAACTTTAAAATTGATAAAAGGTTGCAAATATAATTTGCGATATGGTTTAAATAATATTAATCCTGAACTATCTTGCTGTCAATAATCACAAATTGATAAAAATAGCAATCTTTTAATCGAACACATTTACACATTTATACTTGAACGTCTCTGAGGGCACAATATTAAAGAATATATTGCTAAATGTACTTGCTTCAAAGTGTGGCAATTTATGTATGACAACTTTCTCCAATAAAAGACACTAATTTTTTTTATATGTTTTGGATGACTTATTAACTTTCATAATCAATGTCTTAGTTCCTAAATTAATACATTATAATAGCAAGCTAACGCAGGCGTTAATGCAGCATATATTATATAGACTTAACGTGTGATATACTAGTATATTAATTTTAGAGTCAGAAATGTTTTGAAGAAGAGGGATATGGAGACATCAGCAATTAGGTCATGGGTGTAAAATTCGGGAGCTACTGTCCACTCATAACACAACATCATGAGGCAGTCAAAAGTTTCCGTATACATGTACACGCATTTGTCTTCGATCTTTTAAGTTAAATAATACAAATCAACTGCATCGTTTATAAATAAACGAACTACAATCATAGACAATCCCTCGGAAAAAACAAAACAAAACTAGCTTGCTGTTTTTCAATAAAATCTTTATCATACACACTTCAAACAAACTTGATCGACTCGGTTTAATATGCCATACTTCCTATCACTTAGATATATCAACTTTAAACCATTTTTAACTCGTTATAACGAGAAAAATTAACTCGTTATAACGAGAAAATTTTCTCGTTATAACGAGTTAAATAACTCGTTATAACGAGATAACTAACTCGTTATAACGAGATAACTAACTCGTTATAACGAGATACTAACTCGTTATAACGAGATAACTGAGTCTTTATAACGAGATAACTAACTCGTTATAACGAGATACTAACTTGTTATAACGAGATAACTAAGTCGTTATAACAAGATAACTAACTCGTTATAACGAGATACTTAACTCGTTATAACGAGATAACTAAGTCGTTATAACGAGATAATTAACTCGTTATAACGAGATAACTAAGTCGTTATAACGAGATAACTAACTCGTTATAACGAGATAACTAATTCATTATAACGAGATAATTAACTCGTTATAACGACTTAATTTTTTTTTATCTTCTCAGAAATGAGCCTATCCGGCTTTCGTACAAAATATTTTAAACACGGAAGATTTAAAAATTAATCAGGAGGGGCGGAAGGGGGGTTAAAAATCGGGAATTTTTCCTCCCACCGGAAGAATCACATGTAATTTAATAAATTAACAATAAAAAAATAAATCGGACCTACTTTTTTATTTTTGCGGGCATTTGTTTTCAAATTGATTTGTGGTCATATTTTGGACACTTTAAGGCCTATGATGATCAAACTTTGTCAGTTCATGCAACTTGGGTCCTCGAACAAGATCAACTTAAAAGTAGGTCATCTGACCTACTTTTTGAATTTTATGACTTATCTTTTCTAAAACATTTGATCCCATTATTTCAGACACTGAGAGGTTTCGAATCATCAAATTTTGGAAGTTGATGCATCTTGGGGTCTTAAAACATATTTATGAAAAATTAGGTCAGTGTGATCTACTTTTTGAATAATTTCAATGAAGTGATTTTTTTTTTTGATTCAATTTCACTTCTGATCACTTGAATAAAAATTCTAACATATTATTTTAAAGCTAGACTTTATTAAATAAAAATTATTAAGTAATAAAGAGGTAGACGGCATTTTCTGGGGCCGGGGGTAGGATGATCTTTTGCGATTTGAAAAAATGTCGATAAAAAAATCTCATGCTTTGAGACCCAAACTCCAGCTGAAAAATTTCAAATCTTCAGTTGTGATTGTTCAGCTCTGTCACATGTCACATGACCTCCATGACCTAGTTTTGAAATAACATGATGTGAAGTCCTAAGATGCATCAACTTGCAAGATTTGATGATCCTAGTCATTATAGTCAGCAAAATAGAAACGTTTTTATTAATTGTAAATTTTGGTCAACTTTGAAGTGACCTTTAGACCATGCCCTTTGCCCCAGGGTAATTCCCTGTGCAAGTTTTAATCTTCAACATATCCTGATCCTTGTATATAAGTTTGGTGAAAATCTGCTGGGTGGTTCTGGAGAAGATTTTTTTAGCAACCAGTACTTTTGGTTTTATTTTCCTGATTATCTCCACTTGTTTAAGGGTCCTAACCCTGGTTTTAGAAAAAATGGTAGCCCTTTGGGCCAAGGATACCCTGTGACAAATTTGACAATGATTAGCCAAGGGGTTCTTGAGTTATGGCCCATATTCTAACAAGTTTACGCAGACCGCACAAATGGCCGAAGCATTAGCTCTTTGAGCCTTTGGCTCAGAAGAGCTAATCATAATTAAAAAAAACAACAAAGAACCAATAGAATGGTTTATTTAATCACAATCTTATAAAGATTATAAGCTAATGGATTTCTGTTGAAAAAATGAAATAAACTTTTAACAGTCTAACAAAGAATATAAAAAGTTAAAATATGGGTACAGGGGATTTGATTTCAGTGACTGTGAAGGGATAACAATACACATCTATTAAACTCACACATACTAATCACTAATCTTGTATTCATTTAAAATTTCCAAAAAACAATTCCAATGAATTAAAATCAACGAATGAATGTTCATTAAGCAAATTTTCATAAAATTCAAGATAAACATCAGAGATGTGAATGAAAAATTGATAAAGGGCTGTGTTCCAATTTTGTACAAGTTAGAAATCTGTGTGGCATTAAGTGGTATAACTGCTATTATCATTGTTGATTTTATGATTTCAGGCACAGTTCATATCCAACTTAAATTACAGGATCATGCACTTCATTAATATCATATCAAACAATTTTTTTTTTGTTTAATCTTCAAAAATAAAAAGGGATTTGTCTAGCATTGAGTATTTTTCCTATATTATTAGAAATAAAACAAACAAATAATCAATAAATATGAAGAAGTGACTAGCTTTGATGTCACAACCTACATTTGGACATGTGACAATTCACGATCATTGATCTACATCAAGCATCAAATCCAGTATATATATGTAACTATATGTATTTCAACCTAATCTTGTTAATCCTTTCTTGCATTCATTATTTTTCATCAAGAAATTAGTCAGTACAAAACTTAACGTAGGCATCACATATCAAAACTTCTGTTATTTTTTCTTGGTACAGCTAATAAAAAAAATTAACCTAAAATATGCCTTCGGCGTTTATGCAAATTATCACGCAAGCCAATCGATTGATCACATCATGAAATCGAAAAATAAGAAAGTTATTCCTTAAATGAATACATGTACTGGTATATCCCGAACAATCTGTAATTTCTGTACACGTACCAGTAATATCGATAATACATCTTTCTCTACCTCTTTGTTAAATTAACTTATAAATACAAGTACAAACAAGCATTCTGTGGGTATTTACATTTAAAAACAATACAGATCATTCTTTCTATGATGATCAAAGCAGAAGGAAAATGGGCACTTGATCTGTAGCTCATTAACACAAAGGCTCATACACCAAAAATAAGCTCACCATTTGCAAGCAATGGGGAAAAACCATGCAAGTAGGACAGATCAACTGAAAGACAGAAGACAAGAGGAAACATTTGAGTTCACTCAAGTATCATGGGAAGGGGACTAATATAGTATAATTATATTGGAATGTACAGAATAAATACCGGTAATCAAAATTAGTAGCTGCTACAAGGCTATCTTAAGTTTTAAAAAAAATCTTTGGTTTCCCTCTCCAAATAAACCAAAATTGGCCCGACTCAAAACATTTTTTTACCTATAGGAAACAATTGTATTTTTATTCATTTCTAAGTTTTCTTATTCCATTTTTAACTATTTTAACTTCATATTTGCATGTGTTTTTTAACAAAAAAAAAATCCCTTACATACCTTACCAATTTTTTATTCTCAATCAGGAGAAGGCAACTTAACATTTTTTTAAACAGATGGCAATAGACTAATACATTCATGCTTACAAATAAATTCAAGCAATAAATATTTTATTATATGGATAGTAAATATTTTGATACTGAATAAATGCACACTTTCTATTTTTCTACTGACTAGTCATTAATTGTGGATTATATACATGTGTGTAAAATAATCATAATTTTGTAATCTTTAGAAAAAATGATATGTTTATCTTCACTTTCAGCTCTTTGTACTTCAATAAAAAAAAAAGCAAAAACATAGCATATAAAGTTGTGCACAAGCAAGAATTTGATTTTTAATCTTGTTTTTTTTTTCTCCTTTTGAATGGTCATGATAACTTGATTTTATTAATGGTGCACAGTAAAAAAAAAAAAAACTAGTGGGGAAGTAGAAAATTAATACCCCTAAAAGCCAGAAAACATTCTGACAAAGCTTGTATTATATTAATTTACATTTTTAACCTATAAAGTTAATAATAACATAATTGAAGGAAAAAAAACCTGGATACATTAAGTGAACGCATTTGTCACATAATTTTTTGTTTTCATCATGGCACATTGCATTGTAACAATCATAATCTATTCATTATTTCTATAAAAATTTCCAAACATAAAAACATCTGGAAAAATCATTCTTTGGATTCTTAAATGAAAAGCACAAGTTTTTTGCATGATTATCAAAGACATTCCTAGCCCATAGAAACTTATTATGCATGTACATACCTACTGTACAAAATCATTTGTTCAAACAAGTATCGGTAACAGACAAATCACCATGATCCATACAACAAACACGTTTTTCTTTACGTGTATCACAGGCAGATCTTTATCTCCAGAAGTAAACAAAAATATATCATTCTAAAACAGATTAAAATTCATCATGTAGCACCCTTTTCACATTAACAATTTTACTACTTATAAACACATCTTTATGGTTCTTGATTTCTTTTAGGGACAGTTTTCCATCTTTATCATCATCCATTAAGGAGACTAGGTTGTTGGCTTCTTGTTTGGATTGTTGTGGATTTCTGGGATTCATATAATCCTGTAAATAGCATAAAATCAGTGTACTTCTGTATATAATCCTGAAAATAAGCATATAGGGCCATCATTAAAAATATATTTTTGTTTAATGTACTCTGACTCACATTTTTCAAGGTGGGTAGGTAAGTAGGTAGGTAATTTTTTTTTTTCAGTTACTACCCTTGTATTGGAAATATTTCAATGGAAGATACTGTTTAAGGTTATGTATCAATCTACCATGTTTACATGGCAGGATACACTATATTACAAGTCATAAATAATAACAGTCATAAAATCATGATAACCTACAATTAATTCCTGTTTTGTGGCTATTCCATCTTTATTTTTATCGATGGCTGATACAAATTCCCTCTTTCGGACCTCTCTCTCCTCCTCCCTCTCTTTCTCTGACCCCTCTTCCTGCATCATTTCATCAGGGTTTGTCATAAACTCCTTCAGTGTCAGATTACCATCTTTATCCTCATCTGCATTAGAAAGAAAAAAAGATTATTTTATACACTTGTATATATTTATTTCCCTTGGATAGAAATGTTGCACTTTCATCGGCCAGGCTTACATGCTACTTATTATTTCTATGTCTGGCAAATGAGAATTACTTTCTGGCAACATATGGCTGAAGCTTGCATTTGATATTATGAATCGTTTATAATGAAAAATACTTTAAACATCGACAGATGACACAGGTAGAATATTAAAAAGAAAAAAATGTTAATCCAGCTGGAACACATTAAGGGAAAAATATTTCCCCTTCCTATATCAAAGGAACAATATATAAAAAATACGGAAATACCATCCGTCAGAATAATTAGATCAATAAAATTTTCACTTTTTGAGTGCACACAGATTCCTCATGAATCCAAATTTATATCTGCCCTCATTTTTTGTTTTGTCCAGTTTAATAATAGAATAGTCTTCTGCCCAGAACGAAAAAAATCCACTTAAAACGTAACCTTCTTAACCTTACCTAAGGAATTAATTATTGACATGATCATGTTTTCCACCAATTGAGGGCTTTGTTCTGGGTGACGGAAGCTGAAAAATTCCTTTTTGTCCAGTTTATTATCAATGGGATCAATGTCAGCATCTGTCCATTTAAATTTGTATCGTACAAGCTGATCTCGTTCTGAAAAAGATTTTTTTTTACTCAATTTAAATGAGTCTCCTAAAAATTTCAAAAAACTTAATCCACCAGTCCTAATTAAAGTTATATATATGTCATCATTATTCTTACCATCCTCTTTTAGTATATCAGTATCATAGTCTTCTAGGTATTTTTCAGTTTCTTTGACCCCATGTCCCTTTGCCAGTAAGAAATGTTTGTAATATTCCTTCCATTCTACAAAGCCTGAAATAAACATAAAAGTTAAAGCAAGCACATTTTCAAATAATTTGTGTTTTCTAACTTCTGATAAAACATTCTTAATTTAATTTAAATACTTAAGCTATTGTCTTAATTGTATCAAATTTTTTAATCACAAACCATCTCCATCAGGGTCCAAATGTTTAAAGACAGCATCATTCTCCTCCACTGCTTCATCCATGTGGGCGTTAATTCTGTCCAGGATCCATTGCTCCAGTTCACTGTCACTTAAATACCCATCAGCATCTACATCTATCCTAAAGCCAACAAATAGAAAACACTTTACAATATGTAGTTCGGATCTAGCATTTGTAGCAAGTATTGTTGTCATGATTTGACACCCCATTCTGCTACAATTGATGTGTCATTGATGTCAGGAAATGAAGCACAAAGTCCATCAGGGGAAAGCCTGGGGTACAAGTCTTCATGGGATAGAATTTTAAACAATGTAAATCTATCAGTAGCTGATCAATCCAATTGCAATTTCCATGTCAAAAAATTAAGTGACACTTTTAAAAACCTTTGAAGTGCTTGTTAAATTTTGATATACACATCATGACCACTAGGACTTGAGACAATCTTAGAAAAATTGGGTATAGAATAGAACAGAATAGAATGGTATATAGTATGAAAGGGGAGACTTTTACACTATATACCCGATTTTTTCTCTAAGATTGTCTCAATTAAGTCCCTGTGGTCATGACAGACATTTTCTAAAATTTGTATCAAAATAAAAAATATTTCTACTTGTGAAAAATGTCCACTAGTTTTGCCTCTGCTATTTCTATTGGATCGTCATCCATTTCTTCGTGGTTGCCGAGGAATATTTCTTTGCGATAATCTTTATTTATGTGGCCATCTTTCTCAAACTTTAAGGCATCGACGTGGTCAGGAGGGAGCAATTTTTCAGCATCGACTTTTACAGATGAAATGGATTGTTCAACGACATCAAGGCTTTTAGCTCTTGGTCTGCAGTAAACAGTAACTTGAACTAATGTAAATAAAGCAACTGTCACTAATTTAAACATCTTTTTGACGACTTATGATTTTTTGAGTCGTGTATATCTCTCATCAAAATGTTTCTGCGTACATAGATCGATTACAGCGCCATCTATTCAATGTGAAAAACGTCATGAAAAATTACCCAGAAAATAGATCACTTACTACGTTTGATAAATATTTATTTCCTGGGTTTAATATTTATACTTTTGGAATCTAACTGCAAAATTAACAAGATTAAAGTTATATGAATGATAGATTGATTTATTTTTCTTGAATTCGAATTTTTTATCACGCTGCGCATGAAGTCAGATGATACAAAAAGTAGTTCCATTGTTCCCAAATGAACATGGCGGAGGTGAAAGCGAATCCACTTGCAATTCGCGACTTCAGCAAAGTCATTTTGACATTAGAAAATGTACTTATTCCAGATGATAAACTTTCACCTACCCCTTCCATGCAGGATGGACTTGATTTGGATACAGAAACAGACCTGAGAATCCTTGGTTGTGAACTCATTCAGTCCGCAGGGATTCTTTTGAAACTACCTCAAGTACGTACACCATATGTATTATTTTTCAAAATAATCTTAGTATACATAATGTTAACCTGACATCTTCTATGTTAATTCGAAAAGAAAATGTGTTAATATATTTATACATTTCTTGCTTATCAAATGGATATCATGGGTAGTGTAAGGCAAGGACCTTGTAACACAATGCGCATATGTACGATTTGAATACGTAATGGCGTAGAGCAGTGTCATCGCATGTGCATGTTATTAGCCAATGTTTAATGAGAGGGTACTAAGTGTGAGACAGATAAACTATGCACGTTTTTTTCTTTTAAATTAATGATTACTATTATCAGGTTGGGCACACACCGCCAAATGGTCATTTAACCCCCATTTGGTGGTCATTCGCCCATATCGGCGTCTTTATTAACCACCAAATGGGAGATAAAAATCGTGCTGTTCAGTTCTCTGGAATGACGTGAAATGGCGCATGATTTCAACTCACGGGGAATAAAATATAGATATTTATCTGTACTCTGAACGAAAAAAATTAAAATTTCAACGCGGACTTTTTTGCGCAGTATCGTTCAAATAATTGACAAAATCGTCACCTACGTAAACAAATGCAACGTTTCTCTGTTTTAACTTTAGAAGAAAAATTCCTTCCGTCTCGCGCGTAGTTGAGCCTATCAATCGTGTTGATCACTTCATATTTCTGTCATCCGGGCAACCGATCAATTATCTAAACCAATCAAAAAAGACGATCTTTTCCAAACTTGGGTCAAAAGACTGAATTAACTACGGAGGCCCATAAGTGTTAATTTTCAAAAAGTAAAACAAGAGGAATGGTAAGAATTCACTTTTATTTAGTTTATTCCGTAAGCAATGGCTTTATTCTTTATAAAAATGAGATATGCAGTGAATTCATGTTAAAATAATCACTCGAAAACCATAATCTTGGAATAAAAACAGGAATAATTGCAAATGTCACTTTGTAAATCTTTTATTCAAAAATATTTAATAAATATAGTAGATACAACATAGATATGCATACTAAACCACAAAGGGTCGCACAGAAATCGTAACTTCATCCTAAAAGAAAATAAAGAATAAATGTTACATTCAAATGTAGGAAAATGAATATTATAGCACTAAGTGCCCACCATACGAATAAGATTCGAGGAGCTCGTGTTTAACGGGATTTTATAAAGATTTGTATAGACGCAGATCGAAAGATCGTTTGAAAAGTTACTTCTCTAGACTTACACCTCTTGCTTAAATGTATTTTTTACCGAACTATACACAACAAAATAATTTTTTGTATTGTTTGAGCTAATAGTTCGGCAGTCACGAACAGCTGTGGGTTTCGTTTTTACGAAGTTCCACAAAAATTCCACATGGAAAATTGACTAAATTGTATTAAATGTGCGATGAATATGTTAATTAAAATTCCCCAATGCCTAAGTAAATGCGCTTTTGCTTTATTTCAATGAAAATTGGATTTGAATAAAAAAGACCACCATTTGGTAGGTAAAAAAGACGCCGATATGGGCGATTGACCACCAAACGGGGGTTAAATGACCATTTGGGGGTGTGTGCCCAACCTGATTATTATTTCATGAATGAAATGGGAGTGATTCCCATGAGAATGTCATGAATATCATTTTATTCATTTTATATAGGTTGCTATGGCCACAGGACAGGTTCTCTACCAGCGTTTCTACTACTCAAAGTCTCTAGTGAAGCACAATTTTGAGGTAATGCAACAAAAGAAAGAAAAAACTCGGATACAAATAAATTTTCAGTCAGTCTAACCAATGAGACAAAATAGATATGGAATGTCTGATAAGTTTTTTCACAGATTGTTTTAAATTCAATATTTCTTAAATATATTGGTTTCCATAGTTGATATGACCAAAAATATAAGTTCATATACAGCGGGTTTTTTTACCCTATATAACTTGTGCCAATAAACGGTACCATTCCCAGTGCCAAAAAATTAATTTTTCCCAATTTGAAGAAAAAAATCCCCAAATCAATTGCCAAGGAACAGACTACGATGACAACGTAAAAAAAAAAAACAATCCCGTCTTTTGACTTCACTGTATGCCAAGGGTTTATGAGGAGAGTAGCGTATCAGAAACCCTTGGCTAGCGAAGATGATGAGTTAACTAAATCATTGTTTAACTCCTCTGAGTTAACTTAATGTTAGAGGAAGTGGCATTTTCTTGCTTGGCCTTATTGTCAGATTTCACATACTGGTAGGTTTTTGCTTTTCATTAAGTGTAAAAATTTTATGAAATTTTGTAGGTTGTTGCAATGGGTTGTATAAACTTAGCCTCAAAGATTGAAGAGTGTCCTAGAAGATTGAGAGATGTAATCAACGTAGTCCATCACATCAAACAAGTGAGAAGCCAAAAGTAAGTTTCGATTTATTTAATTTTCAATGAAATGACTAATGGTAGATATTTTAATATGCATTTCTTGCAGCTTGTTGAAAGCTTATACAGTCAATTCTCGAATTATCGCCATTCGATTCATCGCCATTTTCGCAATACTGCCATGATTTCCCAAGAACATTTTTCCTGCTATATAAAATTCTCTTTATAACGCCAAATTCGCATACCGCCATCCGCCACCCTCTTTTCACAACAAACGTCCATTTTAAAGTGTCAATTATCTCGATAATACCGCCACAGGTGCATGTGGTCAGTGAAGCGCGGCTAATTGGTTGACGCTATCCCTGTTGTTAAGCATGCAAAGCCAGTCAAGGTACATGCAATTAAGTAAACAATAATTTTAACATGAACTGTTAGAATAATTTTGTTTTCTGTTTAATAAAATCATATAATCAAGGCTTAGCCACGAAAGCGTTCGTTGTAAAGTTCGCCGATAACGATATTATTTTCATGATCTCTGCTTTTAAAAACAATGCAAAGTTTGCTTAAAAAATAACTGTAAGTCAGAAATTGTGAACCTTTCATTAACAATGATTTCATAAACAATGAATTTACTGTAGATCACCTAATTTTCGCGACACCTTATTTTCGCGAGATAGTCATTGACTCTTGATTAGCGAGACAAAATTTTCACGAACTGTGATCATTGCTCTATATAATCTTTAGGAATTGTATTATACGCGAGAATGAAATTTTTGCGAGCATAACGTCTCGCGTAATTACGTGAAAATAAAGTTCTCGCAAATAAAAAGTGATTTACAGTATTCAAGAACTTATTTTACATACTATTATAGTAACTATAGGCAATATATCACGACGATCGACCCCGCATTTTTTTCAATATCAGAAGTGCAGATTTACATGCATAGGCATGCACTTGTCTTAATTTCATAACTTAATATTTTGTTTTAGCGAAATTGTATACATAAAAAAATACTTGAAGTATTTTCAAATTTAGTAATATGTTTATAAATACATGTACATGTGATAATAAGAATAGAAACGCTAAATGGTATTTCTAAGAACGATAACTCTACGTCTTATTTCCTAAAAGATGGAAAATTCAATTCATCGCCAAATTCGTTATACCGCCATGATTTCTAAATCACAAAAGGTGGCGGTTTATCGAGAATTAACTGTACATTTTAATGTAAAATATGCCTCTGTTCTAGGTACTAGTAGTAAAATAATCACATTAAGTTCTTTGAGTATTTAATGTATTGTTGATTGCAGGGGTTTTGTCCTTGTTTTCTCACAATTCCTCCATTAATATTGTTTTTCTCTTTGCTGCATTGAACAGTGTCTGGAGTGAGCTTCCAAGGCATTGAAACATTTCGGGATATTGGTGACCTTTGACCCCAAACATGGTTTTCCTACATGTTGTGGCCATCAAAGTTATCACTGCTTTGTCAGTGAGCATGGTTTGTATATGAGTCTGGGTTTATCAGTTTACTACCTGTGGCCTCAGAATGGATAGAACTGAGGAAAGAACATTGAATTTCTTGTAGCAGAGATTAATTTTGCTGATTGTGTAAATTTTATATAACTAAATTAAGCATATGTTGTGGGCTTACAATTTCATCTCCAACAGAATGAGATGTTTTTGTATTTCTTCTTCAATATGTTTAATCAAAAAAGAGCCTTTCATCAGAGGTATACTGTTGAAATGGAAATTAAAACTAGCATTTGAAGACCAGTTATTAAGAATTTTACTTATGCATTTTGTTGTGAAATTTTGCATTATATTTACAAAATGCTGTATTGTGTATGAGGAAGTTGAAATTGGCACTGTTCACCATGTTAGAAAATAAAGCAGCAAGAAGAAGATGGAGGAATTGTGTGGCAAACACAGGACTCATTTTATCATTGTATGCCATGTTTTGCTTTTCTTCATTTTAGGACTATCCATCCATTGATATTAGATCAGAACTACATCACAACCAAAAACCAAGTCATAAAAGCTGAGCGTCGTATACTTAAAGAACTGGGATTTTGTGTACATGTACAACACCCTCACAAGGTATATCTATTATTGAACTGCTACAGTAAATTAGGATGAAATTGTTTAAATATTAAATTTGAACATGTGAAACATAAATTGAAATGCTTAAAGTTACAAATGCTTATTAAGCTGCAGCAAAGGTTGCTCTATGG